AGCTGCCTGCGCACCGACTTGCTGCGGCTCGAGCTCGAGCTTGACAGAAGGCGATGCCGTGATTGTCTGCTCGTTCGCCTCTGCTTCCCCGCTTTGCTTGTGCCTGATTGCCCCCGTCCCTGTAGCTGCCGCCTCTGAAGACGCCGTCGTGTCCTCCGCAGCCGCCGCAGCCATCTCCGCCTCCTGCCCCTCGACCAAGTTCTCCCCCGTGACAGTGCGCGTGAGCTCGCTGAGGAACTCGTACCGGCCGACCACGTGCTGGCTCAGGAACGCAGCACCGGCCTTTGACGAGCGTGCGACGAGCGCGAGCACGAACCACAGCTCGGAGCGCAGGGTCGGGAACTTGGTCTGCGCGGCGAGGTGCAGGATCGTCGCGGCCAGTCCTTTGGCGTGGTGAGCATAGAACACCTCCAGGAGCGGCTCAGATGCCGCGGTTGATGGTGACGACTGTGAGTCTGCCGTGGTGCTTGATGCGGTGTTATGCTCGGATAGGGTCAGTGAGGACAGTAGGTCAGACACCTCATCCGCGCTGGCCGTCGAGTGGAGGACCCGGCACACGGCGAGTGCTGCGCGCGCGGCTTCCACCTTGGTGGGTTCCTGGTCGGAATCCTTGAACGCCGTGAGGAGGGCCTCGAGCTTGGTCCCCGTCTTCCTGTCGTCCTGGCTCGAGGACGTGCTGCCCAGGATCCGCTTGACGTTCGGGGCACACTGCACCAGCAGCAGCCTCGTCAGCGAGACCGCGGCGAACTGTACCTGCGGCTGCACGGTGAGGCCCCAGAGCCGGGGCAGCGCGTCGTCGAGCAGGCCGGCCTCGCCGAGGATGACCTTGTTGCCCGCCGGTATGGCAAGGTTCTTGAGGAAGCTCAGGCTCGAGTGCAGCAGCTGCGCGTCGGTCGTGGCACCATCGGCGAGCAAGGCCGCCAGCGGTTTGTGGACCTGCAGGTCGGGGTCCTGGACGAGCTTCGTGCAGACAGCGTCGGAGCGGGCGAGGTTGCCCAGGGCGAGACACGCTGCGGTCGGTTTGGCCACGGGACCCGATGCGGAGAGCCACTTGGCCAGCGTCTGCACCTCGGCGCTATCGAGGGGGTAGGATCCGGCGAAGGCGTCGTGGGCGGATATATCCGCGATGGCCTGGACGAAGACGGACTGGACTTTCTTGAGACGCTCCTGGTCGTCGGCGCCCGCTGCTTCACCGTCACTTCCAGGCTGGCCGAGGTCGTCTGTCACCACGGAGAAGGCCCGGAGCAGCAACGCCACGGCGCCGGGGGTCTGGACGAAGGAGTCCTGGAACTGCTGGTGCGACAGGTAGGTGAGGGCGACTGGCGTGGGACCAAGGAAGTCCTCGAGGTCGCCCGCGTCGGCAGACTCGACGGCCAGCTTGAGCAATATGAAGGGCGTCGCCGGGTGGGTGAAGTTTGACTCTGGCTCTTGGGTCGAGAGCTCCTCGAGCAGCCTGAAGATGATGTGGAAGTATGGCCGTGCTTGCTCGACTCGTGGCCCTGAGATGATGGAGACGAGCTCTGGGTTCAGGCCTGCGAGATATGCTGCTTTCTGGGACGGTTCTGTCGAAAATCAGTTTGCTAGGCCATGTTACTACGGGTGCGGATCACAACACCTACCGTAATCATTGCAGAAGTTGTTGAATACCACCAGTATGATGGGCAGGATCGCGTCCTGGCTGAGCAGGGCGATAAACTTGGGCAGCACGCTCGCATCAATGACTCTCTGTCGGTTGACATCTGTGTCTGCACAGGCATTTCCGGTGAGTCGAAGGATCTGCAAGAGGAGCGTCGGCCTCAGCGTCTGCTCTGCACCTGCGAACAGGGAGAGGAAAAAGTCAAGGATGCCGGATTCGCCCAGAGGCACCCGCCATGATTCTGATAATGTTGGTTAGCAAATGTGGATGGGCTTGGTCGCACATCACTGCATGACTCACCCTTTCGGCCCCCGTTGGCAACAGCTTCGGCGACCTCGTCTAGTTTCAACGAGCCCGCCTGCCAGAGATCTCGGAGTGTGTCCAGCACGGGCTGGAGCTGTGCTACCTTGGACGAGATGCCGTTGCTCGCCTCACCGCCGGCAGCGGCACCACCGACCGCTGCAACCTCGACCCCGGCGAAGAGTCGTTCTATATCATCGGGCGTCATGATCGGGTTTCATTCGGACGTTGTGAGCTTCATGACTCCCGGGTTGATGTTGGAAATGTGAGGAAAGGTCGGGGTGGTGCAATGAGTGGAGCATCATCTTGACGTGGGCCCCTCCCACTTTCAAGGTGGTGCAGGCAGAGAGGCACACGGCGGTCGCCAAGTTAGCAACTGCAAATGACCAATGTACTTTCAATAATGCTCCCATAACATTCTTTGAGTTTCAAAACCTTTGTAGACTATATGCACTTTTCCTGCCCATGTTGTGATGCTGGCAAGCCGAGGAAACATGTCCCCAAGTTCGTCGAGTTTGGTAGTATTCAAAAAATGTGCAGTACAAGTTCAACGCCAACAGCAAAACGATATCATCCCACTCCAAGCTATGGACAAGAAGCCCTGTACAGCCTATGACTAGATCGCCCGACCAGCTTCTGTATATCCAGAGGCCCAGAAATTCAGGGGTGAGCCGGGTTGACTAACTGATGTGCGCACGACCAACCAAGTCAAACATCAACAGACTCCATCAATGCACCCAGGTCCTATCTCCTGTGAAGTAGTGCGTCTACGAGGGACTATGCCGGCTTTCCTGGAGACAGGCCGAATCTAGCCAACAGTAACATTCAAGGTATGTTTATAACTCAGTAATTTATGCATTCCACCAATCTACTTGGTTTACTAAAGCGTGCAATCATTTTACAAATAATTATTCATTAACAGAGAACCCACATTGAAACATCAGCCATGTCAGGTACAGGAACCTCGATTACACGAGAAATACTCAAACCGGAACTGTTGAGGCATGCAGAAACATGCCTGAGTTTCGTGTCGTCCAAATACAGGGCCATGATTCGTTCCATAAATCTAAGCATGGCCCTGCTCCTACGCGTACCTGATGCCACGCCGACCCATAATTCGCAGTTGGCCACGGCAATTGTAAACTGAAACAAGGATATAACCAGACACGAAAAGTCCAAGTCTATTCTCTTTACTTTCTGTCCAGGATACGAAGGGTGTTGCTATGCCCGTATGGTCTTCTGACATGCGCACTCGCGTTGCTCCCGAATTTCAATATCAAGTCTCCGTAGTTGTCCCAAGGTTGAGCCACAACGTCACGCCAAATGAACTGACTACACTCAAGACATCTGACCATGCCGCGCGGAAGACTAGACCCAGGCTGACCATACAAACAAAGATGTGACCTTTGATGTTACGCCGGTGCCGAACGAAACCTATCATCATTACACCACACAGCTACTCACACCAACGTTACGCGACCTCTCGCCGCACACGCCAGGCCGATTACACAGCATCCCTATGACAACATGATTCCCATTTACACTGTTCCACAAGCTCAGCCCAAGAAGGCATAGGCCGCAGCAAGAAGTGCGAGAAAGGCCACTGCCGACGACGAGCCGCTCGTCCTGATTCCAGGGGTGCCACTGATGGGAATGATAGTAGGCAGACCGACGCCAGCAGTCAATGAGATGCCCGAGCCATGCGGGAAAGTCGAGTTGCTCCAGGGGCCTGATGTAAAGCAAGTATGGTCAGTCCGTATGGTAGCCATCGCAACACTCCATCGGGAAACAATGAAGTCTTTTCCCCGAGCAGGGAGAACATACTCTTCACAGTCACCGTGATGCAGTCCGAGCTAGCGACACCAGCCGAGTACGCAGTCGTTGTGCGCGTCGGCTTTACCGTGGAGGTCGTCGTGTTCGTGACCGAGATCTGGGGGAGCGTGGTCCAGACAGCATCTGCGGTCTCTGTGGTCTGGCCGCCCGCGTAGCCAGCCAGCTGCGAGATGGTCACCGTGACAGTGGTTGTTGTCGTGGTCGTTGGAGAGCACTCGGGAGTAGGGAACATCTGGACATTGCCACCATAGTGGACGGGGTCACGCAGGGACAAGGCAGAGCCGACAAGGGGGAGGAAGGAGATGAGCTTGAGGAGGCAAGGCCTGACCATATTGGAGAGATCTCGGAGAACGAGTGACTTGGGTTGAGTGACTATGATTAGGTTGATGCTCAGTAGAGGAGAAAGCGTCTAGGGCATGTGAACGAGAGAGAGACAAGATTCTTATACAGGTGTCTGGGCCAATGTTATACAGAACAATAACGCCATTCTCCTTCCAAGTCATACTCGTGTCGTTTTGAGCGTGCAAGTGTAACTCGCGTGCTTTCCCCGGGCCGTGATGTTGTGTCATTGGCCGATCAGGTCATCCGCCCTTATGAGATGCCGTGGCTGCTGTCCCTTCGTAGCGATCACGGTCACACACAAACGTTCCGGAAATTGCAGGTCCAAGCTCGGGTATCTGCTTGGGATCTGGAGATTGTAGTCGCTTCCTGACGCCTTCGCGCATCTGACGAGGACATGCAGTGGCATGGCATGAACCATGCCACTGTGCCATTCTCCTGATGAATTTCTACCGAAAATGCATGATCGCGTGGTGTCGTGTAGTGGCGAGGAGCACGACAGCACCGCAGTGTACCATAACGACCTTGATGTTTGTCTCGCGCAACGGCTTTGGCGACATGACCGATCGACCGGCCAGCACTACACAGCAAACATGGCAATGGGATCCGAAACTAAGTCATGAAGACTGCACCACTAGAAGAAGGTACTGGTACACCAGACCAGGCTCCGGAGCTGCGAATATGACATCGCACCTCCCATTGGTATGATGCATACCAGCAAACCGCGGAGTCCACCACAGCATTGTGTCTTCAATCGCCCGCCAAAACCCCAACACGCATCAGAAAAACAATATCGCACCACCTTCTTGCAGAGAAATGGCACCGCTATCTTTAAGATGGTGGGCAAAAAAGCAAAAATGAAGGCCGGACTGAGCCGGAGAGCTTCTAAGCTCGACACCTGCAGGATTCGAACCTGCGCTCCCGAGGGAAATGCCTAGGCCGCTAGCGTCCCGAGGGACTATATAGCAGGGCATCGCGTTAACCACTCCGCCAAAGTGCCAATTCCTGGTGTTGATCACCGGGATTTGGTGGTTGTTGAAGAGCAGGCCGCGTATATCTATATATAAAGCCGTGCAGTCCGTGGGCTTGACATTGTGACCCACCTTAGCACCAGACGCGCTTGCGAAACCGTGTCTGGATTGAGCTGGCTGGGCCCTCCCTACCCCTGGATGCCCGCCCTCGTCTTCGATCAGCAACTGCAGCCCAGACGTCAATTGCCCGACCCATACACAATCACTCCTTTCTACCAGGTCGACGCCGACACCACGAGCTTGGCTGTAATACTATTCTGTCCTATACGAAACCACCCCGCCATCATGACGCGTGCTCAGCAAACCATCTCGATCGGCCTCTTGGTCACCTCTGTACGTTTTCTCACGAGCTCAATCCTGCTTCTGCCAAGGAGTGCTGCAAGACAGAAGACGGAAGTGTCATGCTAACAATCGTTTCTTCTAGCTCTACCTCGCCCTCTTCCTGCAGCTCGTGCCCCTCCCCGAACTCGTTCAGACCCAGATCGTCCCAGTTGTACGTGTGCCCTACATGAAGACCCCTCCGGACACCATGCTGTGTCCGAGCACCCAACATGGATCCGAACCAAGCAAGGCCAATGAGCCGGATACATGCCCAAGACACGAGTCTCTGCTAGGCAAAACGTTACACATCGACGACATTGAGAACCTATCGGCTAATCCGCGTCCTTCACTCTCTAGCTCCCCTTCTGGGCCCTCGTTACCTTCGGCGCCTACCTCCTCTCGGTCCTGGGCTACAACGTTATGACCTTCAACGACGTCCCCGATGCGTACGCCGAGCTTATGAGCGAGATCGATTTGGCCAAGACGGACCTCCGCCGCCTGGGCGTCGAGGTGGATTAAGCGACTAGGCAGTGGTGCAACGAGTATTGGCTGGTGGTCCAGGGATGGGAGGAAATCGTGTCCAGTGATGCCCGGGAGAAACCTGCTGTTGGAAAAGGGAGGCAGAAGCTGAGGAGTGCCTTGCGTCAAGTGGGTAATGTCGGACGTGAGTAGAGGACTCTTGGTGAATAGCGAAAGGTTATGTACACTACGAGGACGAAATAATGCGGCCCAGCCTGGGCTTGGCTGTGGACCATGGACAGTAATACAAAAGAAAGCTGCAACACAACACAGATCTGAAAGGGTATACCACCTTCGCGACCCTGCAGGCCATGATTTCCAGTGAGGGGCAATAATATCAGTCGGGCGTGAAACGAGTGGCAATCGTAATTGCATTCCTATGTTGGGTTCGTTGCATATAACGTGGTCCTGTCCAAGCGCCGTCCATTTGCTGTCTATATGCCGTGTCTCCAGGCCATGTGTTCGCCTCAGGAAAGGCTTAATTCCAACCATCGCCAACGAGCAGCGCCACAACCGTCTTCAATGCCTCTAGCGGTTCTACCTTGTTTGCGATGAGCTTGTCGAATACCCCGGGAATCTTGCCTAGCTTGACGTGGGAGTCCTGGCCGTGCCCTGTGACGCAAATGTGTTAGTTGCCGGGATTGCAATACTTCGAAGCGGATGAATGGGGCGGACTTACATTGAGGCGGTGTCTCGACCTGCAAGCCCAGCTTGCTTCGGCCCTCCCCCGTCCAGTCAAAACCAATCCCCCACTGTATGCGGACGCTGGGGAAAGAAGCATCAGCGCCATCCCCAGCTTCGGACGGCCCGTATACCGCAAGCTCAAAGCTCGTCCTGCCCATATGCGGCAGGATCTGTGTTTTCGTAAAGCGTCCTTTCCTCTCGCTCCTGCTATCCTCGTCGTCGCTGTCCTCATCGTCCGACTCTCGCTCTTGGCGCTTCCGCTTCTTCCCTGCTCTTACTGCGGCCACGGACTTTGCTATCCCGTCCTTGCTACCCAGGGTCTGCTCAACGGCACACCAGAAATGCGCTCGTTTCGTCGCGAGTCGCACCCATTCGCCCATCGCCCAGGTGATGACACTTGCATTTCTCGTCAAGGCGCTATTCCGGATGTGACCACCGCCACCATCGTTCTTGTTTTCGACGATGCTGCGTATGAATGGTCCTAGCTCGTGGGTAGCTGCCGGCTCCAGCCGGGGAACATTGATCTCTGTGATTGAGAGCTTTTTCGTGTTAACGGTGAGGTCGAGATGCGCTGCAAAGAGACCAGGCGGCGTCGAAGAGACCGCTATGCTGTGCTTCTGCATGATCGGGGAGCTGCTTGTTCCGTCATTCCTGCCCCTCGGCACAATATTTACCGAAGACTTGAAGGCGAGGTTCGAGAACAACTCCAGGTAGGGTAGCTCTTCCTCTGCACTCATCACCACGGGGTAATGCGAGATCGGGGCCGGCTCGGGCTCCTCTTGTTCATCCTTCTCTGTGAATGCCGGCAGCAGTAGTGGTAGAGAAGTAGCGGTTCCGCCGAATGGAAGTAATGCGACAGGGTTCATAGCAGCCTCAAGCCATTCTTCCGTTGCATCTGGTTTTGGTTTTTCTTCGGCTGGCAGAACTCGACGACACAAGAGGTCCACAAGGGTTTCGATATTATCGAAACTCTCCGTCGTCGATTTCGTCGGCTGTGCTTCCTGTGATCGATACAGTCGTTCACTCTCCCGATTTAACACAGCCAGATCACGTTTCAGGCTGGCAATCTCGTCGAGTAGAGAATCTCTGCTAGACCGCTGGGGCGCCAAGGGATCAGACGCCTGGATCTTGCGGGCCATGTGTGGTCGCCTCTTGGACTCGGTCTTGACTTCCGGCTGCCCGTCTCGTGTCAACCGTGCTTTCTTGGTAGCTGTTGGCGACGGCGGCGCGGCATGCATCTCTGCATTGTGAAGAGGGGCTTGCTTCAGAGGAGAATTCTTGATGCGTTCGGACAGGCCCCTGTTTCGCTTTGCGCGTTTGGAGGGCGAGCTGTGGATGCCACTAGGGGAGCTGATGACGGCTGCAGGATCAGACAAACCCGCCTGTACGGGTGTGGGAGGAAGGTCGGGCTCCTCCCGTGCAACTTGCGGCAGGACGCCCGGTGCAGGCGACCGTCTCAGGCCTCTTCGTTGGAACGGGTCGATCAGGTCATCCTCGTCCTGTGTCCGGGGTGGGAATGGCCGTGGCTTTGGTTTGGCGAGAGACCTCTCGGGTTGTGCTGCAAGGCCAGTGACTGACCGCGCTGTTGCTGTCCTTGGTTTACCCTCCGCATTGGGCACACTGCTGCTCCCAGGTCGGTTGCTTTGCTCGCTGCTGGGTCCGTTGGGGTCGGAGGCGAGAGGGTCCTCTTCTTCTTCCTCACCAGCTTGCACCCGTTGCACTGAGCGTCGCTTCACGATGTCCGGGTTAGATCGGGCCAGGCTCGCTTTTGTAGGCGATGCGAACGAAGGACGCCGCGGCTTTCCTGCAGCTGCTCCGGCTTTACTGGCGTTGGCCGCGGTGTCGCCACGACCCGCCATGCTGTTGGTGATCGACTTGCTGGTCTCAATGAAGCTTGCGATCCATCGTAGCAGATGCTAGCCTGGGAAGTCGTGACAATTCCTGGGAGGCGGGTTCGTGTCCGATTGGCAAAGTTTGACGTACGTCAGAGAGATTGCAGCGGTCTTGTTTCCGGGTTGTTGGTGGATGTGTCGTGGGGTTGTGTAGACGCGTCTCACTTTCTTTGGACGCGTTCTAAGTGACCCGGGGTCCTGCGCTCATGCGAACCACTGGCTTGGGCGTTGGAGACCCGCCCATCACAAGACAACCCAGCAGCACCACAACAGAAGTGGTTGCAGCGTGCATCAGCTATGTATAGCTCGACTGGCCCCTTGTGCGTTTGAGTTCTACCAAATTCAAGACAGATGGATGATCGACCGCAGCCTCCAGGACCGGCATGTGCAGACGCCCCGGGGTTGGTTCTTCCCGGTCGTTAACATGAGCTCAAGTTGGCGGGGCCGAGGAAAACAGCTCCCAGGGCTGCCACTTGCTGCAAGCGATGACGTTGAATTTGGACGCTAGCTCGGCTCATGCCAGTCCCTCCAGCTCAATTGCTCAGCAAGCAGCAACCCTCCAACCACAACATCACAGCCCCAGGCGAACAGCAGCGGCCGGCAACGCACACAGCAGAACGGCCCCGATATCACTTCTCATACCCGCCGCAGAAATGGCATTCACAGCCCGGCCGCTCCTGCGCGCTGCTGCTCGCCCGATGCGCGGATTATCGCAGCAGCCCCGTCAGGCTCAGCAAGCTCTCTTCTCCTCCAGCAGAGCCCAGCAGAAGCTCCCGGGCGGCACACCAGGCGAGACCTCGGACCCGAGCGAGCAGAAGACACCTCTGGGCCCATACTACGAGTCGATGCTGGTCGACCCTCAGCCGATCCCGAAGACCAAGCCTGAGCAGCCTCCTCAGTCATCGCCAAACGCTCCCTCCAAGAAGGCCGACAAGGCCGAGCCCACGCCCTCCAAGAAGGCAGGTGGACTTCCCACAGACCCAGACCCCGTACCAGCACCGTCGTCTCCAGCACAATCACCACCACTCTCTGCCACTGCCTCTCCTGACGCTACTGCTGCTGCTGCTTCTTCCACACCATCATTTGCACCCTCATCCTCCTCGCCAATCACCTTCGGCACAAAACTAGGCGGTCCCGCTAACGAGGGCGCCCGCGCAGAGCGCTTAAAAGCCCTCCGGCTGAGCCAGGGCACGCTGATCGCCGGTATCCGCGTACCCCCACGGCCCGATGAGCCGGACAACTGCTGCATGAGCGGATGCGTGAACTGCGTGTGGGATCGGTATAGGGACGACATGGAGGAGTGGGCTGCTTTATCGCTACAGGCCGAGGCCGCGCTGCAGGCGCAGCGCAGCCAAGGGTCGCCAGAGGAGCTTGGGAAAGTCAGTGCCGTCAAAGGTATGCCTTCTGTCAGGAGGGCTGGCGGCGCAGAGGTCGCAGCGGCGGCAGCTTCGAATGCAGTGAGCATGGACGACGACGGAGGCGGCTCCGACACGAATTGGGTCGACCCTCTGGCGGCTGTGAAGACTGCTGCCGGCGGCGATGCCAAGATTGCC